ACAGAGTGAGGTTCCACTGGTGATGTAGTTTAACACAATGACTGTGGCTTCTCAGTCTGTTGCAGCCTTCTTATATATATACTAGCTGTACCCGCCAAGCGTTGCTGTGGCCAACCTTCCCTCCCTCTTTCTCTCCTCACTTCTCTTTCCTCCCTTTCCTCTTTTTCTTTCCCTATCTCTCATCTTTCTTCCATCTCTATCTGTTTCTTTCCTCCCTTTCTTTGTTCTTTGGTTACATCCATCCTTCCTTCCTTCCCTATCTTTCGTTCCTTCTCTCCTTCCTTCCCTCTCTTTTTCTTTTCACTTTTTTATTTCCTTCTCTCCTTCCTTGCTTCTCTATCTTTCTTTCTTTCTTTCCTTCTTTCCCTCCCTCCCTCCTTCTCTCCTTCCTTCCCTCTTTCCCTCCTTCTCTCGTTATTTCTTTACTGACCCTTCCATTTAATATTGTACTTATATTTTACATAGAAAGAAAGGAAGGAAGAAGGAAGGAAGGAGGGACAGGAGGAAGGAAGGAAGGAAAAAGGGAGGGAGGGAAAGAAGGGAAGGAAGGAAAAGAAAGGAGGAGGAACAGGAAGGAAGGGAGGGAGGAAGGAGACGGAAGGAAGGAGGGAAAGAAAGGAGGGGGATGAAGAAAGTAGTGAGGGAAGGAAATGAAGTGGAAGGAAATGAAGAAAGGGAAAGAAGGAGGAAAGGGAGGGAGGGAGGAAGGAAAAGAAGGGAAGGAAAAAGGAAGGAGGGACAGGAAGGAAGGGAAGGAGGGAAAGAAGGAACACTATTTATTAGAAGAAAGTCAATCTTTCCTTTTTTTTTATTAATGCCCCCATTAGAAAATGCACAAGGATCTGGCTGAACTACAACTCCCAAAATCGTAATCAATCCTCCACAAATCCCACCAATATTCACAGATGGTCAGGTTGGGTCTGTGTGCCAACTTTGGTCCAGATTCATCATTGTTTGAGTTCACAGTGCTCTCTGGAACTAGGTAAACTGCAATTCCCAAACTCAAGGTCAATGCCCAGTGTAATGATTCTTACCTTGTTGGCCAAAAGAAAAGCCTGGAATATCAGTAGGCAGGACTATATTTTGGGAGTATTACCAAAGGAAGCAGACATCTTGAGAGGGTAAAGTGAGAAGAGTGGAGGAGCTGGAGCTCTCCTAGGATTGGTTAGGACAGATGGGAGGAGCTATGTCCTGAGAGGGAAAAGTGTGAGCTTCACAGAGAGAAGGGAGGTTGATTTTGGGAACAGAAGAGAGGAGAGGTATTTTGGGGAGCTTAGATTTTTCTGACAGAGAACGTTTGTGACAGGCAAGGCTGCATTATTGGCCAGGACGGTCAAAGTAGACGCCTGGGTGCTTGTGTGGGTTTTACACAAGTGGTTTGCTCTCTGGGTTAGAGTAGATTAGCTTATGGAGGACACTGCGTAGAGTGTAGCTAATTGCTCTGGGGACCACATGGTTAGGTTAGTCTGGGGAACTCACTGCTACTGTGTTATTGTAGAGAGAGGGTTTTTACTCATATCTAAGTCAAATAACCTGTTTAAAGAAACCATCAAGAATATTGTACTTCAGTAACCATTTAAACTTGTGTGCCTCATTAAAGAAGACAGTTGCTGGTTTGATATTATCAATAAATCTTTTCTCTATTTCAATTTTAAAGAAGCCTCAGTAGTGATTCATTCATGTGGGAATAATACGAGAGGTTTTAACATCTTAACATCACAGTCATCTCAGGGAGCTAAAGGGAGAGCTGGGAGGCAGGGAAGAAGTTTACCTCAGAGAATCATCTGTAATATCCTAAAGTATTTTAGGTGGTGGCAGCAAATCTACCAGAGTACACACGTTACCTCATACATATATAAACACTCTGTGCCAAGAATCAAATTCCTTTATATTGGTGTACAGCTGGGGGGTCAGTGACTAAGATCCTTTAAATTGGAGGCAGTGGCGTGATTTTATTCTTGAGACGTACTCCCTGATCCTTTAGACCCACCAAACCCTTCCAGTATTTTCTGTTCATCATGGGAGTTCTGTATGCCAACTTTGATTCAATTTCATCATTGGTAGAGTTCAGAATGCTCTTTCATTGCAGGTCAACTATAAATCCCAGCAAAACAACTCCCAAATGACAAAATCAATCCTCCCACCCCAACACCACCAGTATTCAAATTTGGGCATATCGGATATTTGTGCCAAATTTGGTCCAGTGAATGAAAATCCATCCTACGTATCAAATATTTACATTACAATTCAAAATTACAGTTATGAAGTAGCAACAAAACTAATTTTATGGTTGGCTGCCACCACAAAAAGGGGTTGTGGCATTAGAAAGGTTGAGAACCACTGCTGTACAGAACTATTCTCAGAAATATTTTGGGATCTTACTTGATCTGTTATGCTATATAACTTTAGATACACCAAGTCATAAAGGAGAGGCACTACAAAATTCCTTTACTCAGTTGTGAAGATGCATAACAGGTGAGAGTACCACATGTGCATTGGTGCTGAATGCTCATAGAATGTAAGCACTGTTCCTTGGAAGCATTTATCCTCACACTTGAGAATGAAATAGTCAAATATTTAATTTCCTAGTTTAATTTGTGAGGGTTTACCTCTTCAGGCTTTCTTCTGGCCTCCCTTTGATGAGGTCCAACAGTCAAACCACTACTGAAAAGGTTTTCTGAATGTTCCTAAGGAAGATCTATTCAACTGAATGAAATCAGGGGTGTGGGGGGAACTTACTGCATAAAAGATAGTTAGTCCAAAATTCGACAAATACTCATTGGATTTAATCAGCTTCTCGAAGTTTGGGTCTTCAACAGACCACCGGTATCCAAACATCAGGGAAAATGTCATGTTGGAGACTGAATTGGAGATGAACAGTATTGGATCAAATGGTTTCCCTGCAAATGAAATCTAATTAATATCAGTTCAACTACTGCAAACTATTGGAATTTACTGATCACTTTTTTATATGAAAAAAAATCAATGAAATATAATAAATTTCACAACAAAGAGAGATATTGGTTTCTGCCGGCAGAGACATGTCAGCACTTAGCGTAGGTAGCCCGCAGAATGACTCTAGCCCTTGTAACTCTAAGTGTGATAAATAACTCATAAAAGAAAGTCTTTCGCTTTAAGTAGAAAAAGAAGAAGAAGTTGTATTCACAGCAAACAAAAACAAGACAGAAAAATTGCTCTCGCCAAAACAAAACATAAAACAATATCTTTGGTGAGTTCTCTTCATTCAATATGCAGAACAAAAGCAATATACAGTCTCTCTTACTCAGTTGTCCGTAGAGTGATCTTGTCTTGCCCTCAACAATTTTTATCTTCAGGAAGCTTGCAGAACAGCTCCTGGCACCAAACAAAGGCTTTTCAGCTCAGAAAAATGAGCCCTCAAGCAAAGCTTAGAAAACAATGCTCAAAGTACAAACACACAGTGGCTTACTATATATATGAGATAACAATACACTCAATTAAMCACTCAATTAACTGTGTCAGCTGCAACAGAAACAGCCCTGATCCTTTCCAAAACTTAGGAAAAGTAGGTTACAAACYCTTAGTAGCAACAAGACACATGCCARCATTATCTCCTCATATTACAAACCTTTTTGACTTGCAAAAATCTCTACAAGCTGCTGKGCTTCATCTTCTATTTTGTCTTCCATGATTCTTTTCCCGGCTCCCAATTTCGTCAAAACCATTTGGSCAAGCCGTCTCTGTTKCTTCCAGGCATGACCATTTGYAAATSCAAYACCTGAGGGCATCAAGATTCAATATGCAATTATTASTCACAAAATTCAAGTCAGATAAGGCTGGGTGGCTACCCTGGAATAGGCAAGCTTTATTAAAGGCCATGCTAATACATCCAAACATTATTTCAAAACCTACACTATACAACTCAAGTCTCCTTTATGCAGAATTCTGAAACCTCAAAACTCCACAAAGCAGAAACTTAGTCACCAACCTCTGAGGATGCAATTGAACAGGAGTATCATAATCACAATCTTGAAGCCAAAAGCCAGTGGCCATTGGCACCCAACCCAGCACACCATGCTGGCCCTCAGCGAACACAATAGACTTGCTATTTCCAGAAGTCTGGTGTTGTGATAAATATGAGTGTTTGAACTGTAAAGCTGAAGAAAGAAGAAAAGCAAATGGAGAACCACAATGCATGATGGTATGGAGATTTTTTTGGCATTCAAAGCAAGGAACGGTTGATCCATGAAACTGACTTTGAAACTTGACGGATTAGAGACAGCAAGGATACCTCTTTACAGGTAAAACAAGGGAGTGCCTACACCTGGGAGATTATTCCTTCTAAATGATGGATTGAATTGGGAACCGCAAAGGATACCTCCCGAATTGTACAATCTGGTGTACAGTGTATCAAGACCTGGGAGGAACAGTCTGTCAATGTTTATTTCTTTGTTTGTTTGTTTACGGCATTTGTAGCCCACCTTTCTCGGCCTTACTTAGCAAATTTGATGCCATACATTCATAAAATACAGTTAAAAACATTCAAGACAACATTATAAAAAAGCATGTATAAACCATTAAAAAACATATGATCACAAGTGTCATCCTGTTAACATCATTATCCAGCAGCATCGTCTAGCCATTCTGTGTTCATTCTTCCTATTTCATAATTACCTATTCTGCAGCACTTCTAAACGCTTGTTTAAAAAGTCAAGTTTTTACTCTTTTTCTGAAGGTCAGGAGGGAGGGGCCCGATATGGAGGGTGTTCCACATCCAAAGGACCACCACTGAGAAGGCTCTGTCTCTCGTCCCCACTAGGCGTTCTTGTGAGGAAAACAATACAATTAGCTTTAAAAATAACAGGACAAGAAAAGTTTTACAGGCTTTCCGAAAAGTAAGTTGGTCTCGGATGGTTCGAGTTTTGACCGGCAAAGCATTCCATAAATATGGGGCTATGATCGAGAAAGCCCTATGCCTAGTAGATGACAATGGATAGGTCCGGATGTTTGGGACTGCAAGCAGATTTTGGTCTTCAGACCGGAGTAATCTCTGGGGTTGATAGTGGGATAAGCGGGCCCTCAGGTACGCCGGCCCCAGACCATATAAGGCCTTAAAGGTTAGTACCAGCACCTTGAAAGTGATCCGGTACTCAATTGGTAGCCAGTGCAGCTGTTGGAGAATTGGGGTAATACGACACCTCGCCGGCACCCCGGCGAGGAGACAAGCCAGCTAAAGCCAGCACTTTGAATTGTGCCTGGTAGCAAACTCCAGATGATTTCCCCCAGTGGCTTAATGTAGATGTGAAACAACATGGGGGACAGTATCGATCCCTGTGGGACCACATAGGACAAAGGTTGTGGGGTTGAGCAGGTTTTCCCAGCAACACCTTCTGAAAACAATCCTCTAGAAAGGAACGGAGCCACTGCAAGACAGTATCTCCAAGGCCCATTTCTGTGAGGTATCCCAGAAGGATACCATGGTCGACGGTATCAAAGGCTGTTGAGAGGTCCAGCAGAACCAACAGAGCTCCCCCTGTCTAGTTCCCGGCGTAGATCATCCACTAATGCGACCAAGGCTGTCTCGGTTCCATGTCCCAGCTTAAAGCCAGACTGTGCCGGATCCAGATAATCTGTGACTTCCAAGAATACCTGGAGTTGCGCGGTCATCACCTGTTCCAGGACTTTGCCCAAGAAGGGGGATTGGAAACTGGCTGATAGTTGATGAATTCAGTGGGATCCAGTGATGGTTTATTCAACAGCGGTGTTATTATAGCTTGTTTTAAGCTCGATAGAATATTGCCTTCCCGAAGGGAGGCATTAACCACCCACTTGGCCAACGCCTCCCCCCCCCCCCCAGCTTCCTTTAAAAGCCAGGATGGGCAGGGATCTAGGATGGATATGGTTGCTCTCACCTCTCCAAGTATCTTGTCCACATCCTTGGGTTTCACTAATTGAAATGAATCCAACAAAATCGGACAAGCAGGTGCTCGTGTTACATCCTCGGAGACTGCCCTTAACATTGTAATGGGCCAAGAACTGAAAGGAATGTGGAATATATTTGATATGGATTGAGATACACCTGAAAATTATATCAAAAACGGAGGCGGGCTTTTCAGATACTTGGGTGTGCCAGAGACAGTGCTGCATCTGCATCACTTCTACAAAAAACTGATCAAGTCTTCAGGAGAGTCTTCGGTATGGGAATGTGCACATGAGAGAATGATTGTGCTTACTTGGTGCCTAGTCAATGCATGATGAAAATTATTTAAACCCAGATCTGATAGCTCTGGACAGTCTTTCAATACCTATAGTCTTAAATTGCACATTATTGAGTTTCTCCTCTTCTCTGGATAAGAACGAACTGCTTTTGCTTGAAGTGTTATTTTTTATGGTGTAGTTTCTAACAGATAAAATCTTCTCCTGTCCGCATATTATATCTCCGGGGGGAAATCTGGTGCAACTCTTCACAACTTATAGAACGCCCTCCCTAGAGATATCAGATTGGCCACCTCCCTCTTGTCTTTTAGAAGGAAAATCAAGACCTGGTTATGGGACCAAGCGTTTGATTAGTGAGCAGCAAGTGGAAAAAGATCACACAACTTATGGCAATGAATTGACCCAGACTGCTTTTTGGATTTCAATTTTAATGGATGTGTCTTAATTAATTGTTTTAATTGTTGTTTTAATTTTTAATATTTTGATTGTGCTGTTGTTGTTTTTATGATGCTAACATCGTATGATGGTTTTGTTAGGCCGCCATGAGTCACCCTTCGGAGGGAGAAGGGCGGGGTATAATATAGGAAATAAATGAATAAATAAACTTACCTTTTCCTTCTGATAGTTTTTCAAAAAATGGAGTCAGACCCCGATCCAAGAATCCTTCCGAGTGATCAACCAGTCCTTCTTTCACAGCATCGAATCCACACAGGAATACCACTGGAAAATGGCCCAGCCAAAGAGTGAAAACCTTTCCATATTGTTTTGCTGCCTGCAATTTGATCAAAGCAAGGAGAAGAAAGTAATAAACACATGAAGCAAACTATTTCAGAATAATAAGTCAAATGCTAGGCATCTTCAGATCTTTACCTCTGAAGTTTCTGCCCATGAAAAACTCCCATTTATGTGCCCTGATTCCCCTTACAGCTGACTTTTATCACGAAGACTTAATTCTGGAATGATCTCTCTTAAACCCTTCCTCATATATTCCAAACTCATGGACGCTTCCTCTCAAGAAAGGGAGGATCTGTGGATCCCTTTCCTTGGGATGGCTTATACCCACACATGAAAGCAAGCTTATGTGGCTCCTCTGTAAAATGCAGGAAATCTTTTGTCTCCTTTTCTATTCAAGATGAACTTCCAGCAACAGTCAATGTAAGCCTTTCCTTAACTAACTCCCCCAGGGATATTTTGTGACATAGATCATCTTTCCAGGGTTGGGGGATTCAAGTAAAAAGGGTGTTCCAAGACTTAGTCACCCACTATTAGAGGGACTTGTAGTAGAGCGCCAATCCGGGAAACCCTCAGGCAGTCCCCAGGGGCCCCTTGTTTTTGATCTATCGGCCCACAATAGTGAAGTAGACTTCCACTTAAGGTCCCTCACGCCATCAAAATTTAGTCAAATAGAGCCCCAAACCCTGCCCCTAGATCAGCCCACTCCATCAAAATTTAGTCAAATACAGCCCCTAATCTTGCCCCTGAACCAGCCCACTTCATCAAAATCTAGCCAATTAGAGTCCCTAACCTTTTCCCTAGACTAGTCACCTCCATTAAAATTTAGTCAAATAGAGCCCCAAACCCTGCCCCTAGACAAGCCCACTTCATTAAAATTTAGCCAATTAGAGCCCCAAACCCTGTTGCTAGACCAGTCACCCCCATCAGAATTCAATCAAATAGAGGCCCAAACCCTGCCCCTAGACCAGCCCTCCCTGGTCTCAAAGTTTCCACCAGTCTGTCCATACAGGAAGCCACTCTTGAGAGTTCCCTGTGGAGAATGCCCTCCCCTCAATTGAATGCTGACAGCTGACTGCCTACCCCTTTAAGTCCATTGGATGATGTCCCTGTGGGAGGGTTATCCCAGGAGTGGGGGTCCACTATCAAAGTTGTGCTGGGGAGATGTAGATGCTTTCGCAAATGCCATTCTAGGGAGAAGCGCAACAGAACATTTGTGACCCTGGGGCGAGATAGGTCCTAGTGCCACCATGACAGACCCCTAGGGCTCAAAATCCTGCTGCTAAACGCTAGGTCCGTAAATGGTTAAACAGCAGCCATCCAGGATTTGATCCTCGATGAACAAGCGGACCTATCATGCATCACTGAGACCTGGTGTTGTGACTCAGTTTGATTCTGAGTCCAAAACTGAACCCTGTGGGTCTTGTGAGCCAGAGTTCCCTGATGAAGAGGATGATGGGATCTGGATTTCTGTGCCTGCCTCAGACAGTGCAGCAGGGGGAACATCAAGTCAGTTCTCAGGGTAAAAGAATGTCAGTGGGATAGATAACGGCCAGGTGGAGTTGTCTTCGCCTCCTCAGCCTTCCCACAATGATCTAGTTCAGCTGGACCAAGATAAGGAGAGCCTTGAAGATAGTAAATTAATGAGTATGCAAGAACACTTCGAATTAAGGGTCCGAATGAGCTTTCACTTAGCTGGTAAGCGAGAAGCCAAATCGGCCAAGGGTCATCGCAATGCGTTCAGGATTGCAAAGGGTATTTAGCCTTCTGGCTGACT